AATAGTAATGAAATCAGGCTTTACTGGAAAAACTCTATCTACTGTGTTCAAGCCAAGACAGAGAAAGACAAACACAATTGTGAATGAAAAACTAAATAAGCATAACTCATGATGTCAACAGAATAAACCAAGATCTAGTGAATTGATTCTGAAAGGTACTAGATAAAATATTGAAGCAAAAATTAGTAAAATTAAATTATTTGATTTCAGTAGACAACTTTACAAGAACTGATGTTCTAATAACAAGAAAAGCCCACTCAACTAAGTGAAATGGACAGGTTATATAAACTAGTAAACACAACATTGTCCTGATTTTGTACTGAGGTTGAGACAACAATGAATCACAGCAAAAGAAGCACAACTAACATTTTTTGGCTGATATAAGTTCAAAAACCACAAAAAGCTTCTATATTTACTAAGAAAAATAAAAATAACGTCTAGTGGCAAGGCAAACAGCAAAAGTTTCTGTCCAGAATTTTAATAAGTAGCTCAATAGAGAATGGAACTATAATACTGTTTAAAATCACAAAAAATCTTTATATAAAACAGAAAGTTGACCAGAAAAATTCCAGACCCTACATGATACAAACTATAAAATTTTACTTAAGAAAACAATCCAAATTAAAATAAATACATTGCATGGCATTATATGAGGAAACATACCAATAATAATGCTCCCAGAACTATTGAATATTATAAATTCTAACTAAATATTTTTTATAATATATTACGCTGATCTGGAAGAATATGAACATTAAGGCTTACATGAAAAAGCAAACAAGAAAATTAGTTAGGAAAAACAAGGAGGGCTGCGGCCTGAGGAGACACAGGCAAGTGGCCGATGCGGAAGTTAGATCCTCGCACCCAGACTCCTGGTCATAAGCTCCAAGCAGCGCTGGAGCTTCAAACAAAAAGTGGAAGATGCCTGGCTGGTCCACGAGCAGCACCCCACCAAGATCTCAGTGATAACAGAACAATACAAGGGTGAGAAGCAGCTGCCCTTCCTGGACAAACCATGTTCCTTGTACCAAATCACGTGAACACAAGCAAGCTCATCAATATAATTAGAAGGCGCTTACAGCTCAATACCAATCAAGCCTTCTTCCTCCTGGTAAATGATGGGAGTGTGTCCACGCCCATCTCTAAAGTATACGATTGAGAAAGATAAAGGTGGGATTCCTGAACATGGTATATGTCTCCCTGGAGACATTCAGGACAGCACTGGCTGTGTAAGACTAGAACAATGCCTAATGCGCTTACCAAGAAAAAAAGGGACATTACCAGCAGAAGCTGGTCAGCTCACTACTCACAAATCAGAACGTAGGTGCCCCCCTAGGGTGTTAGGAACTGTTTATCAGCCAGAAAATGAGCTCCATGCAAGCATATTCAGCTTGGAAAATTATCTAAACTAGGCTAGCTCGTGTTCACACTTTAGAAGTTTAAAAATAAAATACTTTGTATCCAAAGAAAAAAGAAAAACAGTGAGAATTTATACCAGAGAAAAATATTTGAAGATGTATATATCTAGCACATACATATTAAGCCTCAATATAAGAATCTACTTGTAAGTAATAGCCAAAAGTTAGAGATAACTTGGGAGAGAAGTTAGCCAATTTGTTCAGATTACATTTCCTGTTAATACAAAAAGAGTAAATAGGCTTTTGTAGTATGACCTAATAATCGTTTGGATTTCCTCAGTATCTGTAGTTATGTCCCCATTTTCATTTCTGATTTTGCTGATCTGGATAGTTTCTCTCTGCTTTTTAGTTAGTTTGGCTAAGGGTTTGTCTATCTTGTTGATTTTCTCAAAGAACCAGCTTTTTGTTTCATTGATTCTTTGAATAGTTTTATTTGTTTCTAATTGATTGATTTCAGCCCTTAGTTTGATTATTTCCAGCCGTCTGCTCCTCTTGGGTGTATCTGCTTCTTTTTTTTCTAGGTTTTTCAGTTGGGCCATTAAGTTGTTTGTATGTGATGTTACAGATTTCTTCTTGCAGGAACTTAGTGCTATAAATTTTCCCCTGCGCACTGCTTTCAATGTGTCCCATAAATTTGGGTATGTTGTGCTTTCATTTTCATTGAATTCTAGGAAGTCTTTAATTTCTTTCTTTATTTCTTCCTTAACCCAGCTGTCATTGAGTAGTAAGTTGTTCAGTTTCCATGTGCGTGTCGGCTTTTTGTTGTTTCTGTTGCAAATCAAAACGACCCTGAGATTTTACCTTACGCCCATCAGAATGGCCAAGATCAAAAACTCAAGTGATAGCACATGCTGGAGAGGTTGTGGAGAAAAGGGAACCCTCCTCCATTGCTGGTGGGAATGTAAACTGGTACAACCACTTTGGAAGTCAATCTGGCGCTTTCTCAGACAACTAGGAGTAGTGCTACCTCAAGACCCAGCTATACCATTCCTAGGTATATACCCAAAATTTGCTCAAGTACACAACAAGGACATTTGTTCAACCATGTTTGTAGCAGCTTTATTTGTAATAGCCAGAACTTGGAAACAACCCAGATGTCCATCAACGGAGGAATGGATACAGAAATTGTGGTATTTTTACACAATGGAATACTACTCAGCAATCAAAAAGGAGGAAATCATGAAATTTGCAGGCAAGTGGTGGGATCTAGAAAAGATCATTCTGAGTGAAGTATCCCAGAAGGAGAAAGACAAACTTGGTATATACTCGATTATATAGACCTACAAGATATGATAAACATAATGAAATCTACACACCTAAAGAAGATAATCAAGAAAAGTGGACACAGGCGAAGATGATCAATCATCATTTAGAAAGACAAATGGGATGTGCATTGAACGTATGACAGGAGTCTACCACAAAAGGCATCTGAAAGACTCTACCTAGCAGTGTTTCAAAGCAGACACTAAGACTCATAACCAAACCCTCAGCAGAGTGCAGGGAATCATATGAAAGAAGGGTAGAGTTAGTATGATATGGAAAGGATAGGAGCTCTACAAGGACCAAATATATCCGGGCACAGGGTCTTTTCTGAGACTGACACTCAACCAAGGACCATCTATGGATATACCCTAGAACTTCTGCTCGGATGTGGCCCGTGGTAGCTCAGTAACCAAGCAGTTTTCCAAAGTGAGGGGAACAAGGACCATTTCTAACAGGATCTCTTTGGACCCCCCCACCCCCCAGGGGAGGAGCAGTCCTGTTAGGCCACAGAGGAGGACTTTGCAGCCAGCCCTGAAGATACCTGATAAAACAGGGTCAAATGAAATCAGTGAACTTGGAAAGGGGCAGGGAGGAGACCAGGGAGGGAGTGTGGGGTTGGGGAGGGAATGAGGGAGCGGGATACAGCTGGGACACAGAGTTAACAAAATGTAACTAAAAAGAAAAATAAAATTTAAAAAAAAGGAAAAAAAAAGAGTAAATAAGAAGGGAAGTGAGAGGTATATGAAAACAGTAGCAGTACTAATGATAAGGTTGAAATGTTTTCCTTTTTAAATGTTACTGTGCTCAGTAGATGATGTCAACCCTTCTTTTCAGAAAAACAAAAAACAACCTATTATTAGGAAAAAAATATCAAGGAACTTTCACATGTTAAATAAATATCATCCTGAGTGAGCTATCCCAGAAGCAGAAAGATGCACATGGTATATACTCACTCATATAGACATATAATATAGGATGAATCTACTAAAATCTGTACATCTAAAGAAACTAATCAAGAGGGAGGACTCTTGCTAAAATGCTCAATTCCTATCCAGAAAGGCAAAGAGGATGGACATCAGAAGCAGGAGAAAAGAGGGAACAAATCAGGAGCCTGACACAGAGGCCCTCTGAAAAGCTCTGCCCTGCAGACTATCAAAGTAGATGCTGAGACTTAAGGGCAACCTTTGGGCAGGGTACAGAGAATCTCAGGAAAGAAGTGGGAAACAGTAAGATCTGGAGAGGACAGGAACTCCACAAGGAGAGTAACAGAACCACAAAATCTGAGCACAGGGGTCTTTCCTGAGACTGTTATTCCAACCAAGAACTATGCATGGAGATAACCTAAGACCCCTGCACAGATGTAGCCCATGGCAGTTCAGTATCTAAGTGGGTTCCACTGTAATAGGAACAGGGACTGTCTCTGAGATGAACTGATTGGCTTGCTCTTTAATTACCTCCCCCTGAGGGGGGAACAGCCTTACCAGGCCACAGAAGAAGACAATGCAGCCACTCCTGATGAGACCTAACTGACTAGGATCAGAAGGAAGGAAAAGAAGTCCTCCCCTATCAGTGGACTTGGGGAGGGGCATGCATGCAGAGGGTGGAGGAAGGGAGGGATTGGGACGGGAGGAGGGAGAGAACCACAGGGGGGATACAAAGTGAATAAAGTGTAATTAATAAAGAAAAAAAATTATAGGTATTTACTTTTTAAATAAGTTTTCAAGAGAGAAAAAGACAAAAACAAAAAAATTAAGAGCAGTGGAAGCATATAACTTATTCTGCTGCTCAGGGCTCTCTTGCAATGAAAACTACTACTAGTTTTATGACAGTACAGTGTAAAATAGGACTGCAAAAACTTTAAATAATTCACTGCTATGACTAGAATATCTATCTTTAGAAAGAAAATAATACATTAGCATGTACTCCATGATAAATGATTGGCATGTTCATTCTACCAAGGTGTTTTATGCATAGCAAGAAATGAATAAAGTCAAAGGAATTAAAAGTCTTTAAAAAATTCCCAATCCTTTACAGTACAGCTGTTTAATAAACACTATTGTGTTAGTCTGTTAAAAAAAAAAAAGCACATAACATTTAGTAGACAAACAACAAAAATCAACAAGCCCATCTTTTTGTATTAAATATAGGTGACAGAATAACACAATTGGGTATAACAATAATAAGAATGATATACATCTCAGTTTATCAAAACAATGAAAGGAAAATTTAAGATTACAAAGGTAGTTACTTTATTTTCAAATGCACTTCTAGGTATGATAATAAAAATCAAGAGAAGGTAAATATACTTTTATTTCTTACCTGCACAGCCAAAAGCCAAATGGTATCTGGAGGAGGGGCTGAATTTCACACAGCACACATTAGCCTTTGCCTCGATGCTCGCCACTGAATTGTCTAAATTGGTAGACCAGAGCTTCACTAAGGAAATGGTGATAAAATAAAAAGAAAATACACTAAGTAAATGTTTTTGTAACTTGCCAAGTGTTACTCATACATCATTGGGCTAATATAAAGCATTTTATTAGGAACAAAATAACTAAGCTGAATGATAACGTAACAGAACAGTTCTTGAATGTGAGAGTTTACTTTCAATACTAAAATGAGGTAAGAGCAGTGATTTCACAAAGATATGTAACAGGGACCTATAAGATAAAGGTACAAAAGAGCATTCTAGAGCTAGATGGTGGGTCCATTACAGATGTATTAATCTTAATATTCTATAGTGCAGGTAACAGCATACATTCTGATAAAAATCACACATTTTCACATGTATGAGATATGTTAAGATAAAAGCATCTCTTAAAACACTTCAAAACTCCCAATTTGGATAGATCTGAGCTGCTCTCAACCCTTGTCAAAGAATCAACTTCTTTACATTGGAAAGTAGTCAACAGAGAGATGCATAGAGGTCAAACACTGAGATGACAATCAGTGCATAGCATCAAATGGGACATTTCTTTTAACCACCCAACATCCACACCAAGACCAAGACTTAGGGAACATCTTGGAAGATGAAAAAAACATAAGAGCCAAAAGATGGAAAGGAGTGTTGTGATATGCTGACTTCTTATCATGGCATGGTCTCACAATCATGTTGTTACCTGTGCAAAACCCATGTCAGATTGAACTAGACAAAATTCTGGCACAGATGAGATTGATAATCTCCAGTCCTACCCATTCTGAGGAGCAACTGGAAGTGGATTGTTATAGAAAGGGGAGGAACCTTTTGTTTTATTTTGTTTTCAAGACAGGTTTTCTCTGTGTAGCCTTAGATGTCCTGGACTTGCTTTGTACCCCAGGCTGGCCTTTAACCCACAGAAATCTGCCTCCTTGAGTGCTGGGATTTCAGGCTTGTGCCACTGCATCTGGCTGGAAGAATAATTCTTTATTGGCAATGGCAGGTCTTCCATGCTCCAGTGCATGGCTTCATATCTATCAACATCAACGCAGGTCTAACTAGACTTAACAAAAAATCAGGGGAGGTGGTGGCACACACATTTAACCCCGTGTATGGGAGGCAGAGGCAGGCGGGTCTCTGTGACTTTTGTCTCAAAAACAAAACAAAAATGCACTACCACCACCAAAACCAAACCAAACCAAACCAAAAAACATCCCACCCCCCAAAAAAACAAAAAAAAAGGGCATATGATGGTAGATGGAAGGGAAAAATGGGAGAGTAGATATATCCTTTATGTATATGAATAAACCTTTTAAAATTAAGAAAAATTAAAGATACTTACAAGTATTAGTTTTCAATAGATAATTTTGTGATTATTTAAAAATTTAAAATTAAAAATTTTAGCACTGTGGTTTAAATAGACATAAAAACATGAAAAACCCATGGCTATATTTTAAAGTTATAGTCTATTCTAGTGAAATATACTAGAATTTATGATTAATTTGTAATCAAACTATAGCAGATATGATCCAAAGAACGTTGAGCTGTTATTTTACGAAAGTATGAGAGCAAACATGTTTTTAAACAATGAAAATATGAGAGCAAATATAATACACAAGACAGAATTTTAGGACACAAGTTGCCATCCTGGCTGAACATAGAATAAATAACAAGCATTAAAAATGTGTGAGGCCAGGCGCACGCCTGTAATCCTAGCATCTGCGGAAACAGAGGCAGTTGGATCTCTGTGGGTTCAAAGCCAGTCTGGTCTACAAACAAATTCCGAAACAGCCAAGGCTACACAGAGAACTGTTTTGAAGAAGAAAAAAAGTGTATGTATGTTTTAGTACCTATTTTTATTCATCTTTTAATGTTTTATTGTCTAATCCAGGACCAATTCTCAGATGGTAGTCACATAATAGTGATTTCGTTCTGTATATTTCAAAGACTAGAAGGGATTCTGAATATTTTCACCATAATGAACTAGTAAATATATGGAGGTAAGATAAGATGTCCTGAGCTAAATACTACACAATATGCATGTTTTCAAGCACCACATGGTACACTGTATATAAAGTACCACATGGTACACTGTATGTATGTATGTGTATATATAATTTTTATGCTTTTATGAATAAGGTAAAGAAGGACCACACTTTCAGATCACACTAAAAGTGAACTTTGGGGGAGTTACACTCTAGGAAGCCAACAAATACATATGGAGCAATTGCTGTAATTCCACAATCTCACTACTCACTAAAATCCTTTATAAAAAAGTGTTACATATCAGTGCTAGTAGCAAATATACGGAAGCACAGAACTGACCCTGTACTAACAGAATGATAAGTAAAATTAAAAGTGCAGCAGATTGTAAAATGCCATAATTATTAACATTACTATAACATATAGGTATATACAAATTATTAACATCATTCAGGTAAGTCATAGTAATAATCACCATGATTATAATTTTCATTATGCAAGATACTTAAAAAATTCAGTAACTGCCTAAGCTATAAATATAAATGAAATTTAAAATATCGTAAAGATCAACTTAGGGCTGATGAGATGGCTCAGGTTAGGAGCACTAGTCATTCTTCCATAGGACCCAGGTTCATTTCCCGGCACCAACATGGTAGCAGGGGATCTAAAACTCTCTTCTGGTACTGTGTGCATGTGGTGCACTTTCACACAGGCAAAATATCAACAGACAGAAAGTAAAAGCCTTTAAAATTAGTAAGTGTCAAAATCAACTTGACTGTAGATACAACCTAGAAACAGAACTACAATATTTGCAGAATGTCTGTTATGTGAAGAGGTATGTCAATTGAACTGTGCCTCTCTAAATGATACATGGGCTCCTAACCTGGTATTTGTGAATGTTGCTGTCTTTGGAAATAGGGCATTTAGTACTGTAGTCAAGAAGAGGCCCGACTGACTTAGGATGTAGACTGGCAGACAGAGATACAAAGAGAGGAAGGCCACATGTAGAAAGCAAAAATGAAGCAATACAGCTATAAGAAATCCAAGGCAAACAACCACCAGGCTACAAAGCCAGCAGTAAATTATTCTTCCCAGAGACTTTAGAAGGAACAAAGCCCTTTACTTCAGATTTTGTTATATCAGACATTTTAGTATCTTTACTTCAGATTTGTTGTTTCAGGTCTAATGAGCAAATTAAGCAAGTCTTTTTGTGGTATACTTTCTATGGCAGCATTTGAAAACTAAAGCAAAAGAAAAAATGAAAAAAGTAAAGAAATCAACTCAATATTTTAAGAGATAATCACAAACAGAAAGCCAGTATAATCTTCTGGAGAAAATAAGAAATTAACAAGTGTAGAAGAAACTCACTTACATCAATCAGATGGTTCTCAAGATACAAGATAGTATGTAAATCATTAAGGACACAAAGCTACATTCATAAAAGAGTGTTAGTAAATATTTCACTTAATTTAAAAATTTTCTTCTTCAGCATTTATTGATCAAAATTCCCTTTGAAGGGCAAACATATTAAAAGACAGCATCAAACACTCTAGCCTGTCCACTTGGCAGAGATACAGATTAACACGTTTTTTAACCCGTAATCAGAGAAGCTTCTATAGCCATAGATGTAATTAACAGAGACCTACAACTAGTCAAGCTGCAGAAAACAAAGCCATCATCAGAATACTCAGCCAGAAATGGAACATATATACTGTATTCGTTCCTCGAAAGGCTTAAAGAAGAGGGGGTAGAAAGACTGTAAGAGCCAGAAAGGGTGAATGAATACTAGAAAACAGGGTCTCCCATACACACCCAGGAAGCTGCACATATGAACTCACAATAGTTATGACCGTATGCACAAGCCCTGTACAATAGCAGCATGGAGAGGGAGATGGACTGATGTCCTACCGCTAAAGTATGAGCTACTGGCAATCAATAACTGCTAAGAGTGAAGGTTTTCTTTACTGTAAGTGCGGCCATTGGTAGGTACACTAAGCTCCTGCAGAAGGTCAAATCCACGATATGTAGGCAGCCCAAACTGAGACAATGTGAAAAAAGAAAAAGAGGATATAAAGTTGGATGGGTGAGGAAGTGGAGGTATATCTGGAAGAAGAGAAGGGAGTGAATATAGCTAAAATTCATTGTATGAAATTCTCAAAGAAGTAATAAAGTAAAGTAGTAAAGTAATAAAAATTAATTTTAAAAAGACAGTATCTTCCTCAAGATAAAAATCCAAAGAAATTAAGTCAAAGAAAACATGCTGTACATATGCCCTCCGTTGCTTCTATTAAAGATCTTAAAAATGACGGCTTGGAAAATCATATAGCAGTGAAAGAGAACAAAAATAATCTCATTATGAAATTTATCTAGTCGGCATTAGAAAATAAATCAGTTATGTAACATTAAGTATCCTATACAAGTTTTATTTCTTTAATGTCACTAGGTAAAGGGATGGGTTTTCTTTAGTATCATCTGATTCTTCAGCTCAGCTGAAAATAAATTTTTTAAAATGCAATTACCCTAAAGAATGAAGGTTATTATCCATTAATCTGTAATATGAGTTAACCATTTTCTTAATTTGTTTTTCAAATGGTATTTAAAAAATATAACCCAATGCTCTTTGTATTTATAAAACAAAAAATACTCATGAATAAAATTGACAGTGCTGTCTACCAAAACTAAAACAAAACCTAAGATCTCATAAGAGATACTGGAATTATTCTGAGAATAATCCAGATTTTGTGATTAGAAGAAGCTCACGTTCTTGATTTCTATTTTTCACAGCTGGATTTGCTCTGCAGCCGTAGAGGGAAGTGTCTACAGCAGACACTTCATTGTCACTCTTACAATATATCTGAACCTTCATAGAAAAGGAAATTAATGACAAAGTATTGTCAAACTAAGGGGATCACAGATGAGGGCCAAAAGGTCCCATGTAATTCACAGATGGGTAATATCTTTTTATAGAGCATAATATAAAAATTTACTTTGAAGAACAAACAAAATCTAGGAAAGATTTTAGAAAAACTGAGCTAGACAAAGGAGACAGTGAACTAAGAGATAAAGTAGGAATCACCCAATCTGAATAAAAATACCAACAAGAAAGAAAATGTTGTGCAAAGTTCATAAAACAAAACAAAACAAAACAAAACAGAAAAGTAGAATATTAATAGCAATATAACTCTAAAGAAAAGATTTCTGATTGATGAATATTCAATGTAGTAAGTAGTTCTCAAACTACTAACAGGCATGAAGAATGATACTATGGGCTGGGGGTAGTGGTACACATCTTTAATACAAGTAATCAGGAGGAAAAGACAGGTATATCTCTTGAGTTCAAGACTAGCTTGGTCTACTACAAAGTGAGTTCCAGGACATTCAGGAACATACAGAGAGACTTTTTTTTTGGGGGGGGGGGGGTCTTTTTTATCCATAAAGGGGCTACTTACCAACATGTGCCAACCTTCAGTTGATTTATGTCCTTATGATAACAGTTTAAAAATAAATGAGGGCATATATACCGTACTTTATGTATCAGAACTCAATTTAATTTTTAAGGTATATTTTATTAACTTATGTGTAGGTATATACACGGACCTGAGTGTATAGATATATACACCAAATGTATGCAGGAGCCTGTGTGGAGACCAGAAGCGGCTGTCATAACCTCTAGAACTAGAGTAACAGATGGTTCTGAATTGTCATGTAAGTGCTGAGAACTAAACATAGCAACAGAAGCAAGAACTCAATTGCTGAGTCATCTCTCTAGCCCCTCAATTATGTTTTAATGTTGTCTCTGAATATAACACTTGTGTGAGTTTTTGTTTTTAAAACAACAAAGCAGATTCATTCAATTCATTCAATCATATACTCTTGATTTCCCTAGCTTCTGCCCTAATAGACACAGGGATTGACAACAAAGAAAGTACGTCAAGACTGCTTGACAGTATCCTACAGAAAAAGTCACTGATAACCTATATCCTCGGACAGTTACTACAGGTTCTATTGGCATATGTGGGACTTCAAAGACAGATAAGATTCCTTAACACAATGAACCAACTTTTACTGCAAGTAATTCATTGACTTATTACTAAGAAGTATAAAGAAAAAAAGTCCTTTTAGCAATTTTGTGGCTATTTCTTTGGGTAACTAAATGGGACATACTTTTTTCTTCACCAATCTACTTCTTTGTTCAGATTTATTTTTAAAGTGTGTGTGTGTGTGTGTGTGTGTGTGTGTGTGTGTGTGTGTGTGTGTGTGTACATGTGAGTACAGATGCCCTGGGAGGTCAGTTGCTACAGCCCCTGAAACTGGAAACTGAAATGTGCTCTTACCTGCTAAATTACCTCCCCAGAGACTGTGCTTGTGTCACTTTAAAGATCTATTTTTATATCTACCCTTATGTAGTTTGCAGGAAAAAAAGTGACAGGAAAAATGTTACATAGAACATACAAATAAATAAGACTTCCATATTTCTATCTCATAACCCATAAAATAAGAAAACCAAGAAGAAAAAAATTAGTGCAATATGGAAATCCAGAACAAAGCTACCAAGTGTGTCCTAAATGACACTTATTTAGCTCTCTATAGAAGCCAAAGTGGAGATTCTTCTCAATGCCTATGAAATATTTACCAAGGTAGTTCATAAACTGAACTACAAAACAAATGTAAAGGAATTAAAATTATATAAAATGTTTTGTACCTATATTGTTAAGTCAGCAGATTTCTGAAAATTTTAAGTCTGAAAAATTTATAAAAAAAAATTTACAACACATTTTTAAAATATCCATAGCTAAACAAAACACTCAAAAATAAATCACAGAATTAGAAGCTGAAACTAAAAACAAGTATTAATACTTGAAATTTTAAGATTAGTTACAGCAGTGCTTAAAGGAAAGTGTATGAAGAAAACAAAGATTAGAAGGTCTCAAGTCAGAGACATGAACTTTAAAAAGGATGAAATGATGAAATAATTATATAGCAATACAGAAATAATAATGAACAAAACACAATTGGGTCTGAACAGCTTCCCTATGAACATCCCATTTTTTACAGAAATAGAAATTAGTATGTATATAGAATGCCAATGGACCCCAAACAACCAAAATGATCTTCAAAGTATCAAAGATGGCAGTTTCCTACTTCTTGATTTCAATACAGCACTACAATTATGAAAACAATGTGATACTGGAATAAATACATACACAAAAAACAATGGCATACAATAAAAAGACAGGCTAAACCTTTGAATGTACAATGTAATTATTTTTGTTAAAAGTTCCTAGACTACTCAATGGGGAAATAATAATATTTTTAGTAAGAGACATTAGAAATTTAGGCCATTAAAGTTGTACCCTTAAAACACATACAAATTAAAATGCTTCAAAGATATAAATGTTAGACTTATTATAAAACTAACAGAAGAAAATGAAGAAGAAAAGCCTCATAACAATGAATTTGGCAGTGACTTTTCAAATATGCTAAAGGAATAAACAACAAAAGGAAAAACCTGACTTCGTTAAAAAAAAAAAAAACTTAAAAAAATTTTTAAGCACCAACTTCTATCAAAGGTATAAAAAAGGCAACCCATAGTCAAAAACCATACCTGGGTTAATACTTAGAATATAAACATAACTCTCATTTCAATCAAAATCACGGATATAAAGATTAGAATTTTGATTTTAAAGGGGAAGGGATAAGTTACACATATACTTTAACAAAGATAGCTGAATAACTGACATACACATATTAAAAAAGATGTTCAGAAGCACTGAACAGTAGAAAAACTAAAAGAAAAGCTATAGTGAATTGCCCCCTTTTACCTTATACTCCTTTTACATCTTAATTATTTAAACATAGTAAAAAAAAAAAAAAAAAAAATCCAGAAGGCTGAAAGGCATGAAGGGAGGCAGGTAGGCAAAGAAGAAAGTGAGTATGAAAGAAGAAAAAGAAAAAAAGTGTGGTGGTAATAAAGGAAAGGGAAGAAAAAGACGCAGTAAGTTGGGCAGGTAGGCAGGCAAATCAAGACTAAAAGGCTAAGGAAATAGGAAGTGTTAACAAGGATGTACAGAAAGCATACCACTTAGGCACTATAACCATTTTATATCAAATCTTACATGATACATCCTCCATGAAAGATATGGTGATAGTTCTAGAAAAAAGGATCTACAGATCACCATATGGTAGAACAATTTCACTTCTGAGAATAACTAAAAAAAATTAAATTAATATATTTGCACATATATTCATGTAGATAGTAATATTACCCACAATAGTCATAAATTAATATACAAAAAGGCATTTTTATATATTAAAAAGAGTGAAGGAAAAGCATAATATATGAAATAAAGGCTCCAATTCTAGGGCTATTATTTAGCGGCTAATCTGGAAGCTATACAAACAAAAGAATGAAAACTGGGGAAAGAAAATTAAGGTTACTCTTTTAAAAATCCATTTTTAAAGCTTTAAATGATTTTCACTTATATGATTATATGGGTTGATGTGTGTACATGTGTGTATATACATGAGGAGGCTTAAAGGAATCAGATCCTTTGGATTACAAGTAGAGAAGAGACTTGCTTGGCTAATTCACAAGCCAACATAGGAGGGGACACAAGGTCTCCAATTTTCCCAGTGTGAAATATCACAGAGTTTTGTTTGATAATATATTCTTTTGCTTATTTAGTTAACTGGAACACAGTATTTTCTAACCTTGTGTTTCATAGAATAATTTTGTTAAAATACAAAATGTTCACCATTATCATCTTTTCAATACAGCCACTGTTGAATCAGTTAATTTCAGGAGTACATAATTTTTATTTTCTTCTAAAATTTTCTGAGATGGTCTATTTGATTTACAAAGATGGGAGTTTCAATAAATAACTTACACAGCAGCCATGAGAAGTTCAGGGGAGTGGGATCTTCTAAGTGAAAATAAGAACAGTACCTTTTGCATCATCAGAACCTGAAGCCAAGAGTTTAGGATCCATCAGATTAAAGTCAACACTCCAACACCTCTTTTCATGTTCCTTGATATAGAAGAAAGAAAATTATTGTTATGGGGTGGTGAAACAGACTACAGTCAGAAAAAAAGTAAAGACACTGGAGGAAAGCCACATTTACTAAAATCAATGCTTCTGTAGATGTATTGATAAATTCTAAAATTAAAGTATAAGAAATCCTTTAGAAAAGCATTTAGTACTATCATAGTTATAAGTATAAAAATACTAAGCAGTAGTTGGAAATTTTAATTATAAGGCACATGCATACTTTAAGGTGTTAAGAAAACAAAAATATATAATTGTTTTAACATACAGTCAGTGTCCATATTTACCTGATAGACCTTTGACCTTTGTCCTGTGAATCCATCCCATAATATAACAGTGCCTTCATAATCACTGCTGGCTAGAAGGTTCTTATGGTAACTACTCCAACTGATACAGCTGAATGAAAAAAAAGCTAAAACTTTACAATGGTAAATAAATTAACAATGGGGCAAAATGAATTCTAGTGTGTTCAGGAAGATGAACACTCATCAAATTGTTTATATCAGTTTACAATCATTCAGAAACAGACATTAGAAATATCTAGATTTTCTGATTGCCAGTCAACTATCAAGTGCTGAAAGTTTACCACTTTTTATTTTGATCACAAAGTGTATGACAGATATGTGCTGAGAGCTTCTATCATCTGTTCCACAAGAAGAGCATTAAGTATTAGCGCCAATGATGAAGGCCCGGGTGGCTCAAAGAATGTTACAGCAAAATGACAGATAGGAAAGACCATTGAGCCCCTATATTCACTTGTGCCGAACCATATTAACCTAAATAAATAAGTCTGAATTGGATTTCAGTGTTTTACATTCAAAAGGTCTTGACCAATACAACTTATGATTAAAATTCCAATTAAAATCACACAATAGATTCAAAGTTGTAACATTTATGATTTTAGCTATTCTCCAAAAGTCTGCAACTAAAGCTGTAAACTATCGTTGAGACATATACATGTTTAAGTCCTGCATAGTAAAATGTGTGTAGTCATGAACAAGGCACTAAGAAAAGCAGGTAATATCCAAGAATGTAATTTACTCTCTATTATATTTATGGCAAATTTTAGGATTGGAAGGAGATCATTTGCATTTTAAACTATACTCAGTTTCCCATTATGGATTCAGAAAAACCTGCAATCTAATTCCAGATATACCTGGCACTGGAACTTAGTTTATTTCATAACTGGTAAAAACAAACTGGGCAACTCTGTTGTGCTTAGGTACTGGTCCTTCAGCCCCGTAGGTTTTGGCCTTCAGCAATTTCGGCTATTTTCTGAAACGTGCCATAAAGTACTATGCATTAACACGAGTCATGACAGAGCAGGCAGTAGGACATTTAAACTCTAATTACGTTTTCCTCATGGTGATAACGATTATGAATCTTTAAAATAAACCAAGTCTTCTGCTGAGTGTTACTGTGACGTTTTAAAGGACAATTTTATACAACTGATATTATTGCAATGGGCCCATGCTAAGTAAAAAGGGGTTAAGAGTGCAGACTCTACAATTAAACTCCCTCAATATGTAACCCTGTACGTATTAGCTAGAGCATCTCAGGCAAATATTTACTTTTGGTTTGAGCACCCTTCACCTATAAATGCGGCGTTAATGGTAACCATCTCAAATAACTGTTAAGTACTTAAGACAACACCTAAAACATGAGCATTTACTCATTTTTGCAATATATTCTCTGCTTAGGAGATGGACTATATGGTACCACTGATGAATGGCTTCATTCATATACTTGTGGATGAATTAGGAAATAAACAAAAAGAATACTAGTTTATTACTAATATCATTAAAACCATATATAACACATATAACTTGGATTCAAAATCTTTAATGCAAAATGTTTCAGATTCCAAAACATTCAGAGCACCAAGTCTGCTACCTAAATGTACACAAACCCTGTTTCATACTAAAGTATGTGAAGATGCACATCCAAGGGAAGTGAAGTTTGGGCTTAGATTTAAATCTCGTATCTGAGCTTTCTCACAATATACACAAATTAAAAAAAAACAAACCAGAAACACTTCTCCTCCCAAACATTTCAGATAAAGGACACTCAAACTCTGTGTGCTTATTTATCTCAAAGTAAGAAAGGTACACAGATGACTGATTTCTTTTCGAACCTACACTAGTATTCAGGTGCTCTTGAGAACAGCTAGGGAAGCTTTTTTTTCCCCTGTGGGAATAGAGGGGAAAAATAAAAGGAAAAGGAAAAAGCACAAAAAAGAAAGGTGAAACATGTCAGTTCAGCACTGCTATGAATTATAATTCTTACTGAATTACACTAAATATTGTTACTTCAATGAAAAACAAAATATCTGTGTGAAAAAAATCTTAAAAGTAGAAACGACTATAATATTTAGACATGTACATACTATGGGGATTATTCCTGATGTGCAGATACTATTCATAGATAACAATAAATGATAATTCTCACAGAAAGAAAACAAACTTTACAGGAAAGAGGTATTACTCTGCTTTCTATCAACAAGGCATCCTCTCTATACAATCAAAGCATACTTTGAATGAGTAAGGAGTCTCATGGGAAAAATAAAAATCTCACACTCATCACTAATACAGAGAAGAAAAGTACCTGATTTTGGAATTGCAGGTCATCTCATTCTCAGGGTAATGAATATCCACTGCATCCTGGATGACTGTGCCATATTCATAGACCTTAATCTTCTTTGTAACCCCAGCAATTGCAAAATAGTCACAGTCCCGGTCAAATTCAATACTAAAGAGGAAGAAAAGCACACATTTCATGTGACACTATGTATCCAACCTTGTGATATTATATATAGCACAATTTCAGGATTTTAAGGTTTTTTTTCTTTCTTTCTTTCTTTCTATTTCCCCAGTGCCAGGGCTTGAACTCAGAGCATATATGTATACTAGGCAAGTATAATACTTCTGAGCTATGCCCCCAGCTGGAATTTTCTATTTTTAATATCTATCTCTACAGTAAGACAATTTTCTCGAAATATCTTCAGTTTCACTAGCCCACATGTTCAGAATAAGTCCTCAAGACATCAAATTACAAGAATTAGGGAACTGTATAGCGTTGTAACTGTCGAGGTGAACTTCTGTTCCTAGGCACCTGACATGTTTTTCAGTTTAGCTTTAATAGCCATATTACATCTTAGTATGGAAATCTTTAATGGTTTGAAATATTACAAGTGTTCAAAGAAAGTTACCAATTATTTTTTTCATAAATTCTTGTTATTACTATTTCAAGTTATGTTATTTTAATAAATAAATCAGTGTATACGCAAAATTATGGAGGCAATTGGGTGGTGACAAACTGACAGAATATTCATTAAAAAACAGAGGAACTAAATTATCATTTACATTCCCTCAAGTCCACTTCTTACTCCCAAAACAAATACTATCTCTCTGAATTACCGAGCAGTAATGCACATTCCTTAATGCACAAACAGGGGACACTCTGAAAACCCTCTTCTCCTTTTATCGGATTTAGAGAATCCTCTCTGCTCTTACAACTTCTTATATATACAAATTCCAAAATAAACTACTACAATGCAAAATATAACCTGCAGCCTTAATACTTACCTTACAAGCTAGAAATCTATTTTGCCAAATGCACATAAAAACTGAAATGAACCACCATATTCAAATACTTCTAAGTGTCCTTCCTAGAGGTTGAGTTGTAATTCCAGAGAATATAGAAGAATTCTCACTGATGTATAATTACTAATTTTCATGACTAACATAGTAAAAAGTCATTACTATTATCAACTTTTTAGAATACTGAGGGTTACATGAAGTAATCTGCTCAAAGTTAGCATGCTTTTAAGTGGTTTGAGATAATATTGAGCATCAAGTAGTTGGACTTCAGAGTTGAGGATAGTAATTACTAGGCTAAATCACAAATCAACTCCCTTAAGTGCAAGTCTATATAAAGTCTAAAGTTCAAGACTCAAAATTTAATAAATTTGTTTATATGTTTTCTGTACCTACATATTTTACCCCCAATAAGTGGACACCGTGATGGATATACCAGACATTCATTAAATACATATAAATGCATACAACCGCATTATATACTTGTATAAATGTGGTATTAGGAATGCTTGCTACATGATACACTTTAATGGATTACCTGTGAAATACTCATGCAGAATTGACTAAGTTACTATTTAGTTAATATTTAATAAGAAGCTTACTGAGCTGATTAAGAAAGCATAAATTAAAATTTTCTTATAGAGACATTTAAATACTTTCATTACAATATATATTAATATTTATACAACATTAATTGAACTGCTGCCTCAGCTACCATTCCGTGTGCTATAGTGCTATAGATTCTAACACCATAATTACTTTTAATATATGCCAACACACACACACTCATACACACAGACATACACACACAGCACACACGCATGCACCCCCCAACCACTGATGAAGAAATGGTACTAGTGTTAGTTAGTTTTATATCAACTTAACCCAGGTTGAATTACTTTGAAAAGGAGAATTGCAATTGAGAAAAGGACCCCACAAGATTAGAGTAGCCTGTAGGCAACCCTGAGCAGCATTTTCTTAATTAGTGATTGATGTGAGAGGACTCAACCCACTGTGGGTAGTTCCAACATGGGCTGGTAGTCCAGGGTACACTAAGAATGCAGGCTAAGCAAGCTATGGACAGCAAGCCAGGTAAACAGCATTCCTCAATGGCCTCTGCATCAGCTCCTGCATCCAGTTTACTGACTTTTATGAGTTCCTGCTTTGACTTCCCTTAGTGATAAGACTGTGCTGTAGACCTATAAATGGCAACAAACCCTTTTCTTCCCAAATTAGCCATGGTAATTTTATCACAGCAATAGAAACCATAAGACAGTACTGTTGTTAAAAGACAGCTATTAGATCTGAAATCTGGTCTTTAAATGAGGTGATTTAGGAATGCCTAATACTTCAAGTAAGAGCCAGTTATATGATCCTTGAATACATTCCCTCAACTATAAACAGATACTACTAAGAAATCAAAAGTACCCTTATGCACAAGTGAAAGTACTTAATTAAGAACAGGCAACCTATTATAAAAAAGTTTAAGCATTAACCTGTTATTAATTTGAAAACACTTCAGGGAAAATTGGCTAAGAGACCTAAATGATGACCTATGTAGTCTTTATTTACAAATGCTTCCATACATCCTTTTCTTTTCTTTTTTAAATATTTTTAAATATTTATTTATTATGTACACAGTGTTCTGTCTGTTTGAACACCTGCACGCCAGAACAGGGCACCAGATCTCACTATAGATGGTTGTGAGCCACCATGTGGTTGCTGGGAATTGCACTCAGGACCTCTGGAGGAACAGACAGTGCTCTTAACCTCTGGGCCATCTCTCCAGCCCCATCCTTTTCTTTTAGCAGAACAATTATTTAGGTTCTTTACCTTACTCTTAACTTGCTTCAGAGGCTAGCTCTACAACCATTCACACAGAGGTAGACTCAGTGGGTTTTTTGTTTTGTTTTTTAAAGTATCCAAACTTGGGAGAGGTAGACAGAAATCGAAAGAAGTACAGGGGAAGAGGGTGGCAGGTAGATCTGATAAAAACAAATTATATGTTTGAATATTATAAATGAAACTGTCATTAATAAAAATTCAATTTCATAGGATTTGTTCTGTATTTCAAACATATCCTTTTCCTTAGAAAAGACATACTTAAAATATGGAAAAAAATGCATGTTCTTTCACATTTTGCAATTTTCAATTGTTTAAAAACATGATTTATTTCAGCAGTTGAAAACATAATTACACTATAAGAAACCGACATATCCTTTGTCAAAAGGGCCATAAGCCAAGTGACTAAGCAGCAAGGCAATAGACCATAAAGCACAGCTGATTAGTGCATCTTTTCAATACAATGTGGCACAGCAGTGCAAAGTTGTATGTGCCCAAGCAGTTAACTCTGTCACTAGTCTCACAGTCTGTTATATGTTTATGCAATTATAAAATAAGTATTAACAAACAAGGTAGATTAATATCACCAGACACTAGAACCCAATTTATCAGAACACAGAACAGTTGTTAAAATTCTCATTCACAAAATAAATAGATAGATAGATAGATAGATAGATAGATAGATAGATAGATAAATAAATAAATAAATCTCATTTACCATATCAGTGTGCCTCAAGACCCTCAAGGAGCTATAATTTCTAGAAACAGATCACAGACTTAGAAAGTGATTATTATAATAAAAAAGATATTGCCAGGTCTTTAGAGATACAAACACAGGCAAAATCCATTAAAACTGGTGTCATTCAATAGACTTCCTCCTAAAGCAGTAGGTGCTAATAAGTTAACACCCCTATAATACATAGTACACTGAGTGTTAAGCATTATTTTAAACACTATACATAAGTTAAACTCCAAATATCCACAATGCAGATGTGAAGTCTTTTGGTGTAGATTATGCCAAATTAGTTATTAATTTTCAAGTAATTAAAATTCAAGGGATTTAATTTCAATCTATGCTCTGTCATTACTCAAGATGACCATTTTAATGAGAACAAATCAGCTTTTTTTCAAAGAACATATCCAAAGATAAAATGCCACAGAACGACAACATTTACTACAAAAATAAAATATTAACTGGGAGCCAAATTAATGGGGGAAAAAGAAATGGTAGCCTTAAGGATTTTCAATTAATAGAAAAAAATAACAAGTACAAATGAATGACAAATAAAAGACAAAGCAATAGAAGTCAATGATAAGTCAGGCTCAAAAGAACAAAGTGAAGCATGAATATTCTTAGCGATCAAATATCTAAATGTCCTGTTTTCTGCTGGCTGATGGAAAAACCTAGGTACAATGTTTCAGGAAACTAAAGAAACAAGTATTGGATGTGCACTAATACTAACACAGACTACTATAAAAGCCCCTTACCAATCTAATCCTATTCTTCTCTTTTCTACTTTTTTTTTTTTTTTTTACTTTTACTAATGGCGTGTGGGTATGTGTATGCATACATGTGCATGATATGTTTACCACATGCATACAGATGTCCAAGGAAAACACTGTATCTCCAGAACTAGTTACTGGTGACTGACTATGAGCTGGAAACTGAACCCAGGACCTCTGCAAAAGTAGCAAGTGCTTCTAACAGCTGAACCATGTTTTCAGTCCTTCTAATCCATTTTAAAGAAGGAATTAATTCCTTAACCAGATTTGGTGACAATTATTTTCTATTATATCAAGCCTTAAATTTAATACTATGAGATCCATTACAATGAAGCTTGAATGCTCTCTTAAAATTTATTTAAAAAATTATCTTCAGGTCATGAAACAATGATGGATCCGTGAGAGCTTTATATGGACATGATTAGAAAGCTCGGGCGCAGGAGGCTCAGATTAGGAAGACTGGTGGCCCTATTTTATTTTATTTTCGAGCCAGGAATAGATAACTCTATGGAGACTGATAGTCCCAAGCCAGAAGTCAGCAAGTCTCTGGAACGGAATAGTTTCCTCTTTGTCAGGCAGTTCTCAGGTCCGGTGGGACATCATTGCATACGCCTTTGTCCTGTCTCATGTTTAATACTGAGCAAGACTGGAAAGCATTGGGGTGGGTCTTTTAGCAACAGACCTCAGTGCTCCAGCTGCTTCTCGTGCACCTCCACATCTTCAGAAGATGTCAAGGGTGACTTAGACATTAGCAATCCAAAGATTGGGAACTCTCCTGAGGGGGAACCTGCCTGGCCTGCAGATGGT